AGCATTCTGTTACTTTAAAATTCAGTGGAATACCTTTACTTTAAGTGCATGATTTTGAAATATCATAAAATAGTCATTTGGAAAATATTGGTTCACTTTGTCATAAAGGTCTACCAAATGTTGACACATTTTATAATATCAATAAATCACATTTGTTAATATCACTAACCTACCAGAAAAATATTTCAAGTTTTGAGAAGCTATCAGGCTCACAGTGGCATATGCACATTTTGTAAAAATTTGGATTTTAGTTTGAAGACTCAAATTCTGTTATTGAAAAAAATGTCAGTTGTTCTCCTTGGATTAACAGGCTTACTTTGTTTATTTTTGAGAAAATACCAAATCTAAATAATACAGTGTGCAGTCATTTGTTCCACGTAAAAATGGTGGTCTGTGAAAAAAACCAGTTCATTTCACAATGCAAACAAATGCTTTTTCTCAAACTACCATTGTACTTTAGTACGAAGCAGAAATTCTTTATGAGTGTTTCCCATTTTATCACATATAATATTAAAAGCATCAAGATTTGATTAATAATTTTTGTTACAGCATGTTTGTTTTTTTAAAGCAAGTATTTGGTAATGAACAATAAAAAACAATTTACTAGTTCAGCTTAGCACTGATACTTTGATTGGTAAAGTACCAACAATTTTACTTAGCATTACTTTTGTACAGTTTCAAGGAATCCCAGGAATTTGTAAACTATACTTTTGAGAATCACTGCTCTAATTCCACCCTCCCACCCCGAAAATGTTGTAAAGAAGTCTCAAAATACCCGATAGGCATGACACTTAAGGGCCATTTAAAGGCAAACCACTAAATGCAAACGCTCATTAATATACTTTTCATAAAGTCTGGAATTCAGACAAAAACTGGTAGACATGAGAAATATGCCTCATTAACTGAAGAAAAATTAGAAATTAAAATTATATCTATAAATGGCAAAAATAATGAAATTAGTGGAGGAAGATTTAAAAAGCCAGCTTTTCTAAATATGCTTATACATTTAAAGAAATCAGGAAATTAATGAGGAAAGAAATGAAAAATATTTAAAAATAGCCAAATGAAAATACTAGAGCTAAAATATAAGATCTACAATAAAATATTTGCCCAATAGCCCTAGCCGGTTTGGCTCAGTGAATAGAGCATCGGCTTGTGAACTGAAGGGTCCCAGGTTCGATTCCGGCCAAGGGCACATGCCCGGGTTGCAGGCTCTATCCCCAGTACGGGGCGTGCACGAGGCAGCCATTCAATGATTCTCTCTTATCATTGATGTTTCTATCTCTCTCTCACTCTTCTTTCCTCTCTGAAATCAATAAAGAAATATATTTTTAAAAAATTGCCCAATAGATTTAACAAATTATATGTTGTTGAAGAAAAGATCAGTAAATTTTAAGCCATAGCACTAAAAACAATGCAGAGTAAAGTACATGTAGGGGAGGGTGAGAAGAACAGAGCCTGAGTGACTTGTGGGGAAATATAAAGTGGTCTAATGTATGTGTGATTAGAGTCCTGGAAACAGAGGGGCTTTTTGAAGGGGGAAATTTAAAAGAAATAATAGCACAAAATTATCCAAATTTGATGAAAACTCACAGATTTAAGACGCTTATTAGTAACAACAAGCAGGAGTAACTCAAAGGAAACCACTTCATAATAAAATTATGAAAATCAGTAATAGAAAAAAAATTTTAAAGGAGTACCAGGTGAGGAATCAAAAATACATCCCATATAGGGAAAGAGACATTTAAAAATAATGACTACTGCCTTCTTCTCTGAAGCAATGGAAGCCAGGAGACAATTAGGTGATATTTTTAAATACTGAAGGAATAAAATGTCAACCTGGAATGCTGTATCTAACAAAAATGTCTTTCAGAAATGAAGACTAATTAAATTTTTTTTTAGCACAATTAGAAGCTGTAAGAAATGTTAAAGGAAGTTTCTCAGGTTGGAAGAAATTGATACCAGCTGGAAAATTAGATGAACACAAATAAATGAAGAGCACCACAACTTCCATTCATCCATGGATGGACTCTTGGGTTGTTTTGGGTATTATAGTTGATGCTGCTGTGAACGTGGCGGTACTTCAACCTAGTGTTTTTGATTTCTTCAGATATATTCTCGGAAGTGGAATTGCTAGACCATATGGTAGTTCTGTTTTTAATCTTTTGAGAAAACTCCATCGTGTTTTTCATAGTTAATATACCAATATACAATTCCACCAGCAGTGCATAAAGGTTCCCTTTTCCCCATGTCCTCCTCTATTTATCTCTTGTCTTATTGATGGTAGCCATTTTAGCAAGCATGAGGGGATATCTCATTGTGGTTTTGATTTGCATTTCTCTAATGATTAGTGATGTTGACACCTTTTTGTGTAGTTGTTGGCCATTTGTATATCTTTTGTAGGAAAATGTCTGTGTAGGTCCTTTGCCCATTTTAAAATTAAATTATTTTGTGTTTTTGCTATTGAGTGGTTATGAGTTATTTAGATATTTTGCATATTAATCCCATGCCAGATAAATAGTTTGCCAATTCAATGGACTGTTCTTGATGACATTAGCATATCTTCATAATTTACAAAGTAATGTATGGGGCTACCATAGTGGCCATGCCATCTTTTGTTAAGATCTTTGGAGCCAGGCAGATCCAGATATGAATACTTTTTCTGAAACTTGCTGCATTCTAGCATTTACCTGCCCAAAATTATTTTGGTATCTTTGAAACAATTACTACTGTTTATTAAGAACCTGGTCAAGTACTGTGTTATTACCTTAATAAAACTAAAAATAATGAACATTTTTTGAGTCCCTTGTATATATTGGATACATTCTAATATAAAATATTTTCCATGCCTTACATCATTTAATACAGCAACCCAGTCAATTGTTAGTACTATAATTATCATCCCACTGTACAGAAGAAGGAATTGAGACCAATAGAGAATAATTTTTAAAACGAGGAACTCAGGTTGCTATCATGATTCTGGTTTTGTTTTCTATTTCTCTCTACTTGTGGTGCAAAATACTATGTGTTTTATGGTATGTAGTCTTTGTTCCACCAACTGTCTGCAAAGAGTAACTGGGACTTTTACTGAAAATCTCTTTTTGTTTGTCCTTTAACAAACTTCTTATAGGTTATGGATGATAAGAGTGTCTCCAAGAATCTAAATGGGTGATGTCAAGTGAAGATAGGTATCTAAGAGGAAAGCACTGGGAAAACTTGCAAGAGCATAAGCCCAGCTCTAGACAAGTATAGCTCTAGAAATACAACCTTAGCCACATGCAAAAAGGCAATATTTATATGTGTTTGATATAAAAAAGTATGGCTCACCTTTCTACCATTTCTGTAAACAGAACAATCTTTTGTCAGCAGTGACATTTTTGAAGGCCAAATTTCATAAAAATTTATGCTTCTAAAATATTGAACCAGAATTCTTTTTATGATATTTAATAACTATTCCAAAGTGCCTATATGGGAATTTTCTTTAAGAAAGTACAAAAATGTCACTAAGTCCATGAAGGGTTTGTTTGTAGCATTCCTTACTTAGGCAGCTGTGTTTCCATAGAGCTTATGTAACATAAGCTTTTCTCCCTCTTCTATTACTTTATCCTCTTTTAATATATGGAATGGAATTATTTTTCTTCTTTAAATACACAACAGTTTTTTCAGTATTCAATCACTTACAACTGGAATTGAATTATCTGTTAATCTAAAATTATAGACCAGTACCAACTTAATAGAAGCAGATGTATGAAATATTTGTACATTTTGATTCAATAATCTGTTTAAAAAACTTTAGTGCCAGAAATTAACTGGTTGATTTACAAGTAGACTTGATTCCTGATAAAAATTTATGGAGCGCAGGGGAAATTGTGATTTCTCACTGTTTCTCTTTAAAATCATTTTTATTATTGCCTTTATACCTTTCAGTCTTTGTCTTTACAAAACTGAGTATCTTTGCCTTTGGTTTGGCTCTCTTTCACAATCCAGTTATACTTCAAGCTTGGTTGGTTTAAACCCAGTTTTTTTTTTTTTTTTAAATATATTTTATTGATTTTTTACAGAGAGGAAGGGAGAGGAATAGAGAGCTAGAAACATCAATGAGAGAGAAACATCGACCAGCTGCCTCCTGCACACTCCCCACTGGGGATGTGCCCGCAACCAAGGTACATGCCCTTGACCGGAATCGAACCTGGGACCTTTCAGTCCGAAGGCCGACACTCTATCCATTGAGCCAAACCAGTTAGGGCAAACCCAGTTTTTCTTCAAGCTGGGTTTAAGTCTCATCTCTCTCACAAAGCTTTCTCTGTTTGACTCACCATGTTTTTGTTTCCTTTTCTGAAATTTTGTTGCTTTTCTCTCTAACACAATTTAAATTGTGTTCTAGATCATTGGCTTTATTTTTTTTCAGCTACTTTTTTTTTCTAAAATATGTTTTTATTGATTTTAGAGAGAGGAGGGGAGGGGGATAGAGAAATAGAAACATTGATCTGCTGCCTCTGCACACCTCACACTAGGGGTGGAGCCCGCAATCCAGGCATGTGCCACGACTGGGAATTGAACTGGGGACCTCTTAGTTCATGGGTCGATGTTCAACCAGTGAGCCACACCAGCCAGTTTTCCTATAATGACTCGGGTTTTATACTCTACCTGCTACTCCTACCATATGCTGAACACAAATAGGTATTGTCAGTTGATTGGTTTAAAATAGATTATTTCTCTTCAAACTTCCAGTCACTGATATCGATATCTTTAAAAAAGCTATGCAATTAATTAACTACCTAATTGATTACTTGTGGAGTCTTTTCTCTTAACTGATATTGAAGCCTGAGTTCTTCAAAGGGCTATGTGTTGTTTGATCAAGATTTGAAGCTTGGATTATTGAAATTTTTGTTGTTCACTCATCAGATATGTCTAACATGAATGAATGCTAGCTCTGGATATGAACAAGTGTTGATTGCATCATTTTGTTAGTAATATTCAGTATCTTCTTCTTTATACAGGAGAGATTAAACAGATTCTAGAAAATGAACTCCAGATACCTGTGTCTAAAATGTTGTTAAAAGGCTGGAAGACTGGAGATGTGGAAGACAGTGTGAGTTTCTTATTTATTTATTTGTTATTTTTACATTATAGTTCACATTCAGTATCATTCTGTAATAGTTTCAAATATACAGCATTATGGTTATCATATCCTTTATTAAGTGGTCCCCCTATATTTCAAGTATCCACCTGGCCCCATTCAGTGTGAGTTTCTTAAATTGCCAGTTATATAGTTGACTAAATAATGTATAAACAATGGTTTTTATTAATATTGTTACATAAGTAGATTTGGTAATAACTTAGTTTAAGAAATTAGCAAACAATTTTTTTCAAGCTAAAATTTCTAACTATTTTATAGCAGTTTGATACTTTTTTTGAGAATCTTTACCTTTTCCTCAAATATCATAGGGTGTCAGTAAGTGCTCTGAAATAATAATTTACTAAACAATTATGTATTGGTCTGAAAGAAGTCATACGTGGTATATATATGTATGCCAAGTATTGATTATAAAACAAAGATTATAGGAAAAATTTTAATTGTGAAAATTTTAAATGGAATTATTTCTTTTTTGTTGTTTATTTGGATAGTGGCAGCGGAAAGGAATGAATGATATTTAAAGATTTCTAAAAAGTGTTGCAATTGCCTAGCTGGTGTGGGTCAGTTGGTTGGGCATTGTCCCGTGCACTGAATGATTGCTGATTTGATTCCAAGTCAGGGCACATGTCCAGATTGCAGGCTTGATTCCTGGTAGGGGACTGCCAGAAGCAGCCGATAATCAATGTTTCTCTCTCTCCCTCTATCTTCCCCTCTCTCTAAAAGTCAATAAAATAATATATATATTTAAAATGTGTTACAATTTTAATGTAGTAGTTGCTATTCTTAAAGATCCAGTAGCAGCCTTAGGTATAAAATATTTCACACACTTTTTTTTCTGACAGAGAGGAGAGGGATTGAAAGAAATGAGTTAACTCTGAAGTTTTAGATGTTTAAAGTGGAAATAATTGTCCATTTTTTCAAACTATTTACTGAGCTGATATTTCAGTATCCAGGCACAAACTTAGAATCTTCAACTTTTGGTTCATTTCTTCTTTGTCAATGGCTTTTGATAGAATTGTGGTTATAAAAATATATTTCACTCGATATATGGAGATGTTGAATATTTCAAGATATTTACAGGAATTTCATGTTGGCAATATATTTATAAATTTAGGTACAAAGTTAGTGACATACTATATTAGGGGTCAGCAAACTTTTTCTGTACTGTCAGGTCATAAATATTTTAGGCTTTGTGGGCCATACAGTCTCTGTTGCAACTCCTCAGTTCTGCTGTCATAGTATGAAGGCAGCCATAGGCTGTATGTAAGCATGACTGTGTTCTAATCTTTATTTATGGACACAGAAATTTGAAATTTATGTAACTTCACATGTCGTGAAATACTCTTCTTTTGAATTTTCTTCAGCCATTTAAAAATGTAAAAACCATTCTTAACTCACTGGCCATACAAAAACAAGCAGTGGGCCAGATTTGTCTCAGAGGCCATTCTTTAACTCTGGTGCTGTATGACTATTCTAATTGAAACGTATATTTAAAAAAAAAGTGCTGACTGAGAAGTGGAAACAGTTAGGCAAAAATAAAACGACAGATGCATTAGTTTGCACAGCTATATCATTTATTCATTCATTTATTAAGAAACCTGTGGATATGATCAGTCTTGCATGTTATTTTTAGTAGTTTGTGAAGAGAAAGGCAATCATTTTGCAAATGTCCTTAAAACTATATGTCCTCATATTTGAACATAGTCTTTGTTACCAATAAAATTTTCATTTACTTATGTCTATGTACACTTTTCTCTAGGTGATTTCTGCTATTCCTATGACATTAATTTTCTAATTGCTCCCAAATTTTTATTTCCAGGTTATACTTCTATGAATTTCCATATCCAAATTGGTAATTCACTCTTTTAATTACATATTTTATTGACATCTTTAACTTAACATGTTTAAAATGGTGCTCTTGATTTTCCTTCCCTGCCATTTCTTCAACAGTCTTCTCCAATAAATGGCAGCACTATATAGCCACTGTTAAATAAAAAAAGTTTGAGCATCAGTCTTTTTCCATTTAAAACAATACCTAATCCTTTGGTAAGTCCTGTAGAGTCTACCTCCAAAATATATCTTAATCATGGGCACTTTCCAGTATTTTTATTGCACTTCCTCATCCAGGCCGTTACCATCTCTTGCCAAGATCAATGTAGTAGCTTCATCGTCTTCCCAGCTTCCTTTCTTTGATTCTTCCTGTGTATTCTTCACACAGTAGCCAGAATGGTCTTTTAAAAACATAAGTCGAATTATATAACTCTCCTGTTATAACATAGCTTTTTATTTCTCTTTGAATAAAATTTCAGCTACTCACCCTAGTTTAAAAGGCATTATATTGTACTAGAGGCCCGGTGCATGAAAATTCATGCACTGGAGGGGTGGTCCCTCAGCCTGGCCTGCCCCCTCTCACAGTCTGGGAGCCCTCGGGCTGGAGGCGACCTGGTGATCAGGGCAAGGCTACGCCCCATCACACCTCTGCTGCTGCCACTGCTGGCAGCGCAAGTCTCGGCCAGCCCTGGTTACCTGAGCCTTGGGCAGCCCTGGGCAGCTGGGCAGCCAACATCCGAGGCTTGCCTGCGCCTCGGGCTGGCCCTGGGCGGGGGGAGGGGAGGGAGTGAGGGGACTGGGGAACTCTGGAGGCAGGTCCGCGGAGCGGTCTGGCCCGCCTGGGGGTGGGTCCGGCCTTGCCACACGCCTGCCGCCCCCACGGGCTGAGGGGACTGGGTGCTGCTATCTTTCGAGGGCGTGACAGTCAATTAGCATATTCCCTCCTTATTGGCTGTGGGCGCCACCATCTTTAAGGGCAGTCAATTAGCATATTCCCTCTTTATTGGCTGTGGGTGCCGCCATCTTTGAGGGCGTGGCAGTCAAATAGCATATTCCCTCCTTATTGGCTGTGGGCGCTGCCATCTTTGTGACGGCATGAGGGTCAATTAGCACATTCCCTCTTTATTAGATAGGATTGCCCTAGCTGATGTGACTCATCCTGTGAACTGAAAGGTCACCCCGGTCAGGGTGCAAACAGGAGTCAACCCATCGATGTTTCTGTCTCGCACTGATATTTCTCTCTCCCTCCCCCTTCTCCTCTCTCTAAAATCAATACAAATATATTTGTTTTTAAAAGACATGGTGTTATTTACCTTCTCTTCACCACTACAACTTCATCTTTAGCCTTTCCTACCTTCACTTTTCATGCTGTAGTCATGTAAACTTCCTTTTAATTCTTCTAATAGGTTTAAACTCTTTACACCTTTACCTGTCAGATGCTATTCAGCTGCCTGGAATGCTTTACCCTTAATTCTTCACATGATGGTTCTCTTTCACACTTCAAGTTTCAGCCTAAATATTACTTTATTTAACAGAGTTTTGTATAAAATGTGGCTCTTATCTCAGCATTCTTCATCACAACCCCATGAGTAGAGGGGCCATGTCTCTTTCTTTCATATTGTATATCCAGTGCGTGGTATAATAAATATCAAGCAAATGTTCATGGGATAAATGAATAAATAAGTTAAAGATGAGTATCCATTTACTTAATCATACCATATGTGGTTTGAGGGGTAAGATTTAGTGGAAAATTTTTGGATGATGGCATGGTAAGAGGATAATAATAACTTGGTCAAGTGTTAAATCTAAGCATTTATCAATAATCACAAAATAAAATAATGAAGGTTAAGGTAAAAATAACTTTCCTATGTTTATATGTGTGTTTTTGGTTTGTTTGCATGTTAACTATTAGCAATAACAGATCAGTTTCAAAAGGACTTACACGTGTTTGACATAAAGATCAGAACTTAAGGCTACTACAGTGTTTTTTTTTTCAATCCATGGCGGGATGTAAAGTTAATTGAGTGGCTTATAGCCAGACTGGGAGGAAAAAGGATAGAAGTTGTCAGAGTGTATTGCAAATAATCAGATTATTTCTTTTTGTTTAACACATGATTATTATGAGTCAAGAGTAAATCTCAATGCCTTTGGAGTAAGTCTCTGCACTTAGTAAGAAGGGCCCACTTGTGGAGAGGTCAAGAGTGAGTTTCTTATGTTCTATGCCTGGCGAAAATCAGCTTTCCTCAGGTTTCTCTACTTCCATCTGCAAGGTTAAGAGGAATTCCTAGACATCAACTCTATCTTGCTTTCCAACACATTCAGCCTTGAGATTATTATTTGTTTTGATTCAACCAGGACCAGTTTCATTATGCCTTTTCCCACTGTTTATGCCAGTTACTATTGCAAGGAGTCTAAGATTCCCATGTTACCTCTCACTCTGATCTCCAGTCTCTGCACAGCCCATGTCTTTCTCTATTCTTTGTCCTATTAAATGCCCAAGACCTGTGTTATGACCTGTGGAACTAACTCATTATTAGCGAAATTCCTTATTGTCAACCTCTTTTCTAAACTTTCCCTTCTCCATCTTTCTCTGACTGAAGTCTATGGTCCTGAGGACACTGTTTCTCTGTAGCCTTCTCAGTGTTAATTGCTTTTCTTTAGCATAAATGATACCACTGGATTAACTGGTAAAATATATAATAGTCCCTCCTTATTAGTGGTCTTGCTTTCTGTAATTTCAATTGCCCAGGGTGAGCCATGGTTCAAAGATATTAACAGAAAATTCCAGAAATAAACAATTCATAAGTATGTATATATGTATGTATAGGAAAAAACAGTACATTCAGGGTTCAATCTGCAGTTTTAGACATCTACTGGGGGGTTTTGGAACCTATCCCCCATGGATAAGGGGAAACTACTATATGTCTTCATTTTTCTCATTTCCACTTTCATACCTTTATTAATACTTCCTCTTTAAAAACTTTCAGCTTTGAATTTCATGTCAAAAAATTATATCACCTACTTATTGAGGCCATCTCCCTCATTTTCTGATGAATTTTAATTTCTGGCTTACAGTTGCTCTCTGTCCTAATTCTTAGTAATTTAAATATCTTTGTAAATGATTC